ATATCTCTAATTCAGAGATCTGTGACATTTCTCTTTCTCATTTTCAGACAAAATAGAAACCTTTTGTTTCTAGAGAACTTTTTATTATCAAAGATTTAGACACACAAAAAGTTGAAGGGTACCAAAACCAGAATATCTTTATAAATCAGTCTTACAATAAATTACATGGAAGACTTCTTTTCTTTCATAGGGAAGCTATTTCTTGGCTTAAAGTGAACTACCTTATGGAAACTTTTACTTGTCCTTTTTATTTCAACCCTCTTAAGATGATTGAGCAGAAAAGATTTTTAAATCATAACTGGAATTTTAAAAGACAATGAGGAAGTTTGAAACTAAAAGCTAACATTCACAGAATGACAATTGAACCCAACATGGCTCATAATAAAGGTTGGCAAATGGGTGGGATTTATGAATTGTGATTCATGTTTTGGTAGCAAGCATGATATTTAAGTAAGTGTCTTACTAAGTGTTTCTTGGGGAAAAAATGCAACTTAACAAGTGATGTAGTTTCTTGTTGTTTGTTCTTTTTAACAGAAAGGGTTCAAAGACACCAGTCAATATGTTGTAGGAGAATTGGCAGCACTAGAGAATGAGCAAAAGCAAATTGACACCCGTGCCGCGCGGGTGGAGAAGCGCCTTCGCTATCTCATGGACACAGGTACGGTGCCCAATTACACTGTAAACAGTTTTGGCAAATTGAGCGTTCACAAACTCTTATAGAGTTTTGGAAGTGTGAATCTTTGAAGCTTGAATGTTCAGCAAAACTGCCTTGAAAATAAAAAGGCTGCGATTTGCAGCCACCACTCTGGGCCCTGGTGATAAGAGTGCCTTCATGGGAAGTGATAACTTGCCCTGATACTGTGTGAGCCAGCACTATTGAACAGTGTGCTCATCCATGCAGAGTTGGAATACACATCTGTGCCTCATTGATATGCCACTGCTAAAAGAGAGAGAGAGATCTTCACTGTTCTACTGATTCGCCGGGGGTGGGGTGGGGGAATGATTTGGCCAGCTAAAGCCGTGTACCACATGAAACAGAGCACAGTACATAGGGGGAAGGCTCTGCTGACTAGATCACTGAAATTTGAGAATGCTATCTGGTTACTGATGTGCCACAGTTTTTTTTTTTTTTCCAGGATGGCAGGTTGTTTGTTTTTTTAAGTGTGTAATACTTTGTGTTGCTGGTACATAAAAAAAGGATTGAAACATACAGTTGGGATTTTGTGAACTATACTGCTGTGGCAAAATCCAGGCCACAATAAATACTAGAAGGCTATAATAATAGAGATTGCTTTTGCAGATGATGTGTTGTAAGGGAGAGATTCACCAAATATCACATACATCAAAACCAACACAGGCCTCATAATGGAAAACTTAAATAATCCGCAGTGGAAGGAAATTTGTCTCACACTACATGTATCCGTTGAGCTAATATAACTCCAGGCTAATGTTACCGCAATCTTAAAAATCTGACTGTACACAGGAAGCCCATAAATTATTGAAGTTAACTAAAAATCTAGGCAGATGCTGTTATTAATTTACACTGTGTAAAGGTTCAAGGCATTATGCCAAGTACATTAAATCCAGTATAATGATGAGATAAAGAAGCAGCACATGCCCACTAATATGTGCATTTTTTATTTTTAGCCACTACCTACCCAACTCCTGTTTATTCTAATTTATTTAATATGAAAAGGGATATTCACATGTGTAGAAATATAAAATATGTGCATGAGATCATCTTTTCCAGTAGATACTAGGCTAAAAAACATACTTCTGATAAAACTTATTCTGTAATACTGTTTTTCTAAGATTTTGTATTTATTATTCTTATTTAAAAAAACAACAACTCTTGTTTACAAGTTCCACTCTCTGAGGTATAAAATTATAATACGAATATTATTGCTTATTCCTCTACATAGAAATACTCATGTTCTTCCCCTTTAAATTCATGAAAATGGATTGTAGAACTTATAAGAAATGTTGATTTAGAAGGTGAATGTGATCTGATGATTAAATACTGCTGTAACATGTACATAATCAACTTGATAAATGGGTGGGAACATTTTTTTAACATTAATGAAAAAATGTCATTCAAATACTTGAATGTAACTAGGGTTGGAGATCAGTTTCTTCAGAGTTGTTGAAAATGTAATCCATCTGAGGGAGTATGACGTGTACCATCTCCCTTTTCTGTTCCTATTTTGTCTCACGTCGGGCTCTCTACCACTCCCAGTTGTTACTTATTCAGAGAAAATATTAATATGAACATTGGTTGGGAATTGATACTTGATACTTGAGTGTGGGAAGAGTGTCACTCTTCTGCAGCTTCCTTTGAAATATTTTTCCTCTCTGGTTTGCTCACCCAAGATGTGCATATTTACACACTGCTGTGTTGTTGTTGTTGTTTTGCCTGAATATGATTCTTTGCCCACCAGATCCCATTCTGTTTTCTTTCCCTATGATTATTTTCCTGCTGCCAGCTGCTCTGCGTTCACTGCATCGATCAAATGCCAGTTATCTTCTAGGTTGGATTTTAAATTATCAACTTCAAACTGTTTTTGTGACATTGCTTTCTGTTTTCTTGTGACAATGTGGCAGATCTTCTTTTGCACAGTTCCTGGATTTCTGGAGTACTCTGTGACAGCTTTTTGCCAGCAGTGCAAATGGTTCTGAGTATTTCAACCAAGCAGTTTCCCTTGTACTGGTATTTCTTTTAATATAGGCGTAGGCAAAACCAGTAGCAAGAGAGGTGACTGCAGGATTTTACCATCCTTCAAGCAAATAGAGCTCATTTTTAACCTGAAGTTGCCTCCATGGGTGAAATGGGCCAGTGTGAAAAATTCAACTGAAAAATAAACTAATAGATCAGGTTAAGCAGGATATGCTTGATGAATAGGCAGGTACGCAACCTGCCACAGTCAGTTTGTTTACTGAATTCCAGAAGGATGCTCAGTAAGATGTTTCGGGGGGATGCATTGTATATCAGCATCCTTAAGTCCCCTTTGATCCTAGAGCTAACGTGATTCTGGAATGCTGAGAGCATGTCATCTCAAACCTTCTTCAACCTCTCTCCCAGATCCTGTCAAATAACATGAGCCAGTAGGACCTTTGGGCATCTCTTTTTAAAATTAATTTCAGTCTCTCAAAAATATTTCTAAACAATACTGTCAGTCCTAACAATGTAAGAGTGATGGTAACAACATCATCCAATTCTTATTTACGAACTGAGTAAGAGGAAACCAGATGGTCTGCATATTCTCAATATGGCAGTCAATCATACAGGTATGTCTTTCCTCATCTGGACCTATTTTTTCTAACAATTTTTCATTATTTGATTAAGGGTGGGGGGGTTTTTACCCTAGCCTTCAACTCGATCTAACATAGTAAGAAATTTCTTACTATGTTCTTTAAGCTTTATGAGAGGCATCAAGCTGTGGTCTCTCTTTTTTTTCCCAGCCAATGGTTACTAACTAAGCCATATTTTGAAAGTCATGTTCTTTGAATAATTTGTGCATACCCTCTCTCTCCAGTAGAGCACACATGAAGTATGACTTTTGTTTGTTCTATATTTCCCCCTTTAAGATATCCATTATGAATCAAAACATAATGGGTTTTTTTCTTTATTAGTTCTTCCATTTCATTATTTAGACTTTCCCATGATTCTCATTGGGACAACAAAGAATTCCATGTCCATGTGATCCAAAACAGTCATATACCAAAAGCAAAAGAATCTTTAAGTTTATTGGTCACATATTCTGGTCTTCTCTTCCTTCTACTTGTATTAGTTCTGTTTTAGTTTTAATCTAGCAAAGGGACATTCCAAATTAATATTTCATGAAATATCTGTTTTAGCCAATTCACATTTATTCTGCAGAAGACTCTCTTTGTTTACCACAGTGCTCCATTTTCATGTTGATATGAAACAGCTTGTAATAAGAGTACAGGTAGTCCTCGACTTATGACCACAATTGGGTCCAGAACTTCCATCATGGATGTGGTTGTTAAGTGAGTCATGCCCAATTTTACAACCTTTCTTTCCGTGGCCTTTAAGTGAATCACTGCAGTCATTAAGCAAATCACACAGTCATTAAGCAAATCCAGCTTCCCCCATTGACTTTGCTTGACAGAAGCCCCCTGGGAAAGTCACAAATGGTGATCATGTGACCCCAGGATGCTGCAACTGTCATAAATACATGCTGATTGGCAGGTGCCTGAAATTGATCGTGTGACCGTGGGGACGTTGTGATGGTCGTAAGTCACTTTTTTCAGCATCATAACTTCGAATGGTTGTTAAATGAATTACTGTATAAAACTTTCTTTTTTTTAAAAAGACAGTACTTTCAATATTTGTACTTTCTTGACTACATTAAATAGATTAAGACCAACCTGGAGCTGTTTTAGACAAGCAATTCAGTTCAAAGGCTCTCTGTTCAGAGCAGGGGTAGGGAACCTATGGCTCCCCCCCCCCACG